TATCCTATATTTACCCGATATCTATATAACATGTGTCCGATATTATACTGACCAATATCTATATGATATTTATACAACATGTATAAGATATGTGCCCGATATTATACTACCCGATATATGTGTAATATGTGCACGATATCTATAATATATATCACCGAACTTCTGCATAAACATTACAGATATCAGGTACCCTATATGTGTGTAATTGTTGCATATCGTATACATATCATATACATATCCTACATATATCTGGTACCCGATATGCAACCGATAGCCTCGATTTTGACCTGTGTAGAGTATTTTTTGGAGTGAATTAGGAATGTTAATTTCTGAAGGAAGAGGATTTCCAAGCCTAGTTTGCAATCTGGATATTATTGATTCTCGCAAATCTTTAATTGACAGAACTATTGGCATATAAAGAGTAGAACCATGACACCTATCATCTACAGCAGGTGTATTCTACATAAATTAAACATTAATAGAAATATGCCATTAGTGTGTGTGTAATAAAGTTGTAATTTAATCTAAATTACCTCATTAAAGTATGAATCAACTTCTTCCCAAAAAATATCAAATGATGTTCCTTTGAATCCATTATTAATTCTTAAGTTTACTGTGATATTAGGATCCAATTCTTTTGTGATATTATTTGGTGCAAAACTGGAGTAACTTTAGCAACTAATGAATACTAATAATAAAATGTTTACATTAAAAAATGATAAAAATGATGGACATATTGATTGAGTTGTTGGCTAAACTTACATTTGACGTGTAAAATAATGAGGTATAAGGTCTTGTTTAGATAATAATGTTTGTATTTTGTGTTTCTGTATAATCATTAACTTCAATTGGTATTTTCCATATAAAAGTTGTAGTTCCAAGATAATTACCAGCATGATACTGATAAAAACCTATTAGGAATATCAATTCTAAATTCTTTATAAACCGATGCCTTTTCATTCCTGATTCTGAAAGATATCTTTCAATATTAATATATTTATTTAAGTCATCATAGATAGAATCTGATTGGTTACAAGCTTCAATAATTTTAACCATAATATTTTCTACCCCATTCCATGCTGGTTCTAATGATTTATGTAATTTATTCATTGAATTATTGACTTGTTTAAGATATACCATATATTTTTTAACCATTTCTATTAGCTTATACAAATCTTCTATTAATAAAGCCTAAAGAGTATCTTGTGTCCAAGATTATGCAAAGCTAAGTTCAAAAGACTTTATTAGCTTATCCAATTTTTCATGTAAAACTTCTTCATGTTTATGATGTGCAAATTTCTTAAGATATGGATCAATATACCACAAAAGTTTGCTAGTCTTTCTAAATGTAATCCACCAGTCCAACCAACTTTTTATTTTCATTTCATGTAACTTGGGGTTGCTTTTGATTTGGTAATTTTAGTTGTAATGCATTTTGCATTATAAGGTCTAACGCATTTCTTCGAATGATAGACTAATAAACAAATTTTAAACCTTAATTCCGTAAATTTAAATCCTTGAATCATTTCTATTATAAGATCCACCCTGTTGGATGCATTGCAACGCACCTGTGTAAAATTATTATTTCTTATTATGTATTTTTTTAGCTAAGGCTACTTCAAGCCAATTCTTTATTTAACATAATATAAGGAGTTCCAATCTAGGGGAGAGGGAGAATAAAAAATAATGCATAAAATACAATACATAGTCAGAATTACCATTACAATAATTTTGGATAAAATTTTGACCAAAAGAGTGAGCAAAAATTTTGGATAATAATTCCGGCCAAGATTTAAAGATTTGTCTAATTCTAGCCTAAATTACATGTATTTTTTTTACATAAAAAATCCAGAAGGGGTTATGTTAAATGAAAAATTGAATTAGTGCGATCTAATTAGAATTCAATCACATGGTGGGTAAGGGTCAGATCTCTAATTAAGCATAATTACATGATTTTTGGAAGACTCTGAACATCACATATAGTTGACTTTCCAGAAAACATGACATAGTGCCTTTATCTTTATTAATTTTATTAGAAACATTTACAATTAAACAAAATATAATAAAAGAAATAAACTAACTAAAAATAAAGCTATATAATCTTTTAAAGAGTAATTAAAGTTAAAATAGAAAAAACTAAAATAAAGAAGATTATCAGTATACTAATACTCCTTAAATCATCCTTCGTGTCATATTTCAAATACAGTAGATGTAACTATGCTAATCAGATAACAAAAAGTGCATCCATTATAAAAATTGAAACCTGAAAAGTGATTAAACCAATTTAATTCTTGAATGATTGAATTCTTAATTTAATTTTTATTAGCATCATGTGACAGCTTGATTTGGGTCAGAGATGGTAAAGTAGAGACAGGTAAATACAAAGACTTAGGCAAATTAGAAGGCTTTGGGTGGATTTTAAGAGTAGTAGAAATATTAACAGAACATTCTCAGTGATTTTTTTTATAGTTACAGGCATCCTAAACACTTCTACGCAGCTTGTGGATAAAGTTATTATGAGAAAACCATTCTTAACAAAAAAATCTAAGTGTTGTGTAATATTTTGAAAAAAAATAAGACTAAAGTCAGAAACAAACTCTACAACTTGTTCGTTTTGTATTCAGCTCTTATCCATGTTCATTTTTTGTATTGTTATAATAAAATTTAATAAAGGGGATTATTTTTAAAAAAATTATTATGCAGAAATTTTTCATAAAAGATGTTTTCAGGAAAGAGTTTTTAGTTTTTTCTTATATTGTACTTAAATTCTAATTTAAGTATATTTTAAGTATAATTTAAATCAGTGTTGGCACTTGGCCGTTTGGCCAGGGTTGGCCAAACTGGCCAAAAAAATCTTTGGCCGCAGCCAAATGCTTAATAAAGTATTAGTATTTTGTTATTTGGCCAATATTTGGCCAGGGTTGGCCATTGGCCATTTTGCCATTTTGGCTGGCCAAATCGGCCAAAAAAATTCTTGGCCGCGGCCAAATGCCAACACTGATTTAAGTATTTGGGCAAAAATCAAGTACATTAAAAGTATATTTTAAGAGTATTTTAAGTATAAAAATTTTTCATAGGGTGAGATCTACAGAATCAAAGGCTTTAATATATCTTGAAAAAGAATCCATAAAGGATTATTGTTAATTACTGAATCATAAATAAATAAATAATAACTCCAATATAATGATAGGATCACAACAAGAACCACCAGGTAAACCAGCAAAATTACTACTTTGTAACACATGATGTTGAGTTAAAAGTGAAGCAAAACGATTATACAAAAGTTTTGCAATAGTCTTTCAGATTACTTCAAGTAAAGTAATAGGTCTAGTATTTTTGAGTTGCCATTTTAGGAAAGACCATAGCATACCACCATAAATCAGAAATATTGGCAGAATTAAAGTAAGAATATATCAGAGTTAATAATAAAGAGAAAGCGTGTGTACTTGCTATTTTTCCATAAAAGGTAGGTCCAATAAAGAATCATAGATTGAACAGGTAAAGAAGAAGGTTTACTGACATAATTTTGAAAATGGTTAACAGCTTTAGACATAATGTCTTTCAGATCAGTGACCAAACATGGTCAAGTAAAGTGATCAATAAATACACGATCTAAAATACTATAGACATCACATATATAACTCACATTTGAATTCAATCAAAATTAGATTAAACTCATAATTTAAGATAGAGCAAATTAATTGAAAATTAATTAATAGTTATAATTATAAGTTTTAACAAATTGTGTTGATTTAATTCGTAATTCGCCTCAGAACCAGTGAAAAGTACTAATATATATTGGGAAACTATTATAGAAATTAATTATTTCTTAAATAATTTTTTCGTGCAAATTTATCAAAATTTTTTTAAATAAAAATGTTTGAAATGTTTAAAAAATATAATAAAATTTTAATATAGTCTTTGTAACTGTTGTATCTTTGGGCAAATTCAACATCTATGCATTATTAAGGGTTAGGGCTGGAATCTGACGTTGCTAAAGAAAAAATTTTGTAATTAATGGTGCTATGACAAAAATATTGTTATATTAAATTTTTGTAATTTTAAGCCATCATTTACATTACTTTTGGATTAAAAATCTTCAAATAATTTTAGCTCAAATTTAGTTATAATTTGTTATATTTGTAAATGTGTGATTTCTCACCATCTAGTGATCCTATAAGGATGAATTATAGCTCTTTGGAATCCTCTCATCATTAATAATTGAATGGTAATAATTTCATATCTCTATCATCGATATATAACTGGTTAATAATATGTTAATATTAAATAATTGCACATAATTGTTGTGTTATATATTGATTATAGAGATATAGAATTACCACCATTCAATTCTAGCCGCAGTAAGGAAGATGCAACAATGACCTGTCTAGGTTGGGGGAACCAGGTCAGGTTGGGAGCCATTAAGCCCAAATGTTATTGACAGCAAGGCATGACGTTTGCCATCTATCCCCCACACATTTTTGGGCTAAACAGATGTGCCAATCTGTGTGTTATTTTATGCGTCAAGTATCAATTGCAGAAGCTCCAACATTGGATGATAATTCATTTGAGCCAATCTTTGATGGAGAAGACTCTGCTGAAACTTTTGCCAAAATAGATAAAGATAGGGAACTGGACTTGCAATTGCTAATGGCAACGGTTAATATTGATGATATTATTGAGATATGAAAGATTTCTAGATATAATTATCCAAAGACCTACCAATTTGTTATTCTTCTTAGTACCGGTGAGTATTTATGTACTTGTTTTATGCTCATCACTCATGGTATTGTGTGTCAGCATTTTTTTAAAGTATTTGTTGAATCATCCAAAGCACGTTTTCATCTAATATTGATACCTTGCCGTTGGTATAAAGATGAATATATTAGTTCAAGTAAGGGTTATTTTAATGAAAAGGTTATAGGCAACAGAAATTTTAATCATAGTAGCACCTTTAAATTTACCAGAAAGTATACTATAAATGATCTTTCAGAAGAATACTCCAAACAAATAATGCGAAAACAACTGAAATATGGCATTTTAATGGGTGAAGCAAAAAAAGCCATTCAGTTTGCAATTTGTGATGATGATGAAGAATTAATCAAACCTATAAAAGAGTATAATGAAAGGAAAAACATTCAGGCGGAATCACAAATCGATTAGCAGAAAATGACAATCAAGTTATTTGTAGGCCAAATGGAGTACTAATTGAATCTAATCAAGTTTTAGATCCATTAAAACATCAACCAAAGGGAAAACCACCTGGAAAACATTTTAAATCATCCACTAAATTGAAAAGTAAAGGTAAAAGTGAAGCAACTGATGGGGCCACAAGTGTGGTTTATGTGGAGGAAATGGACATTATCATAGCACTTGTCCTTCAAAGTAGTCATTTTATATACAACAATCAAATAGCACGTATGACACAAATAACAAAATAAAAAATTAAAAGGCACAGTGCAGGAATTGAACCTGCGTCTTTAGGATAAAATAAAAATTATTTGCTTTTACAATTAATGTTTTTATTTTATTTATTTATTTATTTTATTTTATGTGAAGTTGGCGAGGTATACAAAAAGATATGAACAATCTATCGAGAGTTACTGATCTACTTAGAACCCACCATCGAAGACCAGAGGAGCTGGCACCCGATCCTAACTTCTTAAAAAAAAAGACCTGTACCACTACCCCGTCTGATAAAGGTCCAGGCAAACACACTGGGAATAATAAAAAAAAAAGTGGAGAGGACAAGTCTCCTTTCCAAGAAATTGTGGCACTACACATAAACCTATTCTATCCTAAAAAATAATAATACAATTCTGAAATTCGTAAAACCGCTAATAAAAGCATAGGCTAAACTAGTCTCTGTAATAAAGTTAAAATTTCTGCTAAAACCGCCTTGTTATCTTTATTACCACCCTTAATCTTCGAGGTATTCTTTGCCTTCTTCTGATTCTTCAGGTTTTTCTCCTCCTGGTTATTATTTTTTGGGACTATCTTCGAGGATGTAGGTTTATCCTTCTTCTTAGGCTGTTTACTTTCCAAATTCTTATCAGACTTACCTGATTTTTTCAGATTCGGTGTATTTTTAGCCTTCGGTTTATTTTGTGCTTTCTTCAAGGTGGGATGGAGTGTCGACACCATTTCAACTCCTTACCATCGGGTACAAAAAACTGTGGCGTATCTAAGGCCCTTAGTGTGGTCTCCCAATTCTCGAAATAGGCCACAAGTTTCCTCCTTCCTTTACTTGTTTGAATTACTTTAAATGAGCTAGCACCGCACTTCATTAAAAATTCACATGGTTTACGGTCCATCCACAAGGTAGCCATCGTCATATCCTCCGGAATGTCATGAATAACGGCTTGGAACTTTTCACATTGTTTTCTTTCTCGTAAAGTCCAACTTGCAGGGAACCATCTAACGGGTATACCTCCCAGATCTGTCTTCCAATATTTATTAAACTGGGGAAGGACAAATGAGGATAGTGCTATCTTGACTCTAAGAGTCTGATACTTGTGTTGACGTTTAACGGAACACTTGATAGTATTACCCCAAAATTTTAACTCTGCTATTATTTTCTGCAGGTTCCAGGTATACGGGATATCGTAAACTATAATATCTCGGATTCGCTCAAGCTCCTCTCCAACAGCTTCATATCCTGTCAGTATCTGTGTAGACAATTAATGTTTTTATTTAATTTTATTTGTATATTATAATAATTATATATATCACATGACAGGGTGAGGAATAATTGGTCTCACCTGGGGTGAGGAATAAATTCACCCTTTTGAAAATAAAACTCTTTCCCAAATACATTTTTTACAAAAATTTTTGCGTAATAATTTTTTTTAAAAAATAATCCCCTTTATTAAATTTTATTATATAAATATAAAAATGTCTATGGATAAGAGCCGAACAAACGAAGAAGCTTTAGACTTCATTTCCAAATTTAACGAACAATATTTTCACACCGTTACATATCACTTAAGTTCTTTTGTACAGGACGGTTTCCTCAAGGACTTATTTGAAAAGAACCTCTCAGTATCTAAGGACAAAGTCCAGATACTGATAGAGAGGTTTGGCGACTCAGCCAACCCTGCGAACTTCACTTCACAAGCTCAAGCTACGAATATACAGCCGGTACCCTTTCGCTAATATTTTCTATAGTGCTCTATGCTGATGATGACGATGACGATAATTCTCAGAATACTGATGATTACCTAATGGATGCGTCACCTTTTCTTGAGCAAGATGTAGATGATCTAATACGCCAAGGATTTCAACGCCCACCAGATCTGGTACCTATCAAGCTTCCATCAATGCCTGATATAGTAATGCCCCCTGTTGATCAAACTGTAATACCGAAAACTTCCAGAAAAAAGATAAATAAAAGGCGCGTGTTACAGATGATAAACAAGTCGCGAACCAATCAACAAAGGCAAAACCTGATGTGAAAACATCAGCCAAAAATTCCCATAAGGGAAAGAAATCATCCGAACTGGAAGCTACACAGATACTGACAGGATACGAAACTGTCGAAAAGGAGCAAGAGCGAATCTGAGACATAATAGTTTACAATATCCCGTATACCTGGGACCTGCAGAAAATTTTAGCAGAGTTAAAACTTTGGGGAACGCTATTAAATGTTCCGTTAAATGGCAACATAAGTATCAGACTCTTTGAGTCAAGACAGCACTTTCCTCTTTTGCCCTTCCCCAGTTTAATAAATATTGGACGACAGACCTGGGAGGTATACCCGTTAGATGGTTCCTGTGAGTTGGACTTTACGAGAAAGAAAACAACGTGAAAAGTTCCAAGCCGTCATTCATGACATTCCAGAGGATATGACAATGGCTACCTTGTGGATGGACCGTAAACCATGTGCTAGCTCATTTAAAATAATTCAAACAAGTAAAGGAAGGAAAAAACTTGTGGCCTATTTCGAGAATTGGGAGACCACACTAAGGGCCTTAGATACGCCACAGTTTTTCATACCTAATGGTAAGGAGTTGAAATGGTGTTGACACTCCATCCCTACCTTGAAGAAAGCACAAAACAAACCGAAGGCTAAAAATACACCGAATACGAAGATATCAGGTAAGTCTGATAAAATTTTGGAAAGTAAACAGCCTAAGAAGAAGGATAAACCTACATCCTCGAATAAAGTCCCAAAAAATAATAACCAGGAGGAGAAACACCTGTTAGCAGAGATTTTAACTTTATTACAGAAACTAGTTTAACCTACGCTTTAATTAGCGGTTTTACAAATTTCAGAATTGTATTATTTTTTAGGATAGAATAGATTTATGTGTTCGCACCACAATTTCTTGGAAAAAGGACTTGTCCTCTCCACTTTTTTTCCCCCCTATTTTTTACCCAGTGTGTCCGCCTGGATTATTATCGGTAGTGGTAGTAGTGCAGGTCTTTTATTTTCAAGAAGTTCGGGTTGGGTTCCAGCTCCTCTGGAATTCGATGGTAGGAATCGTTTAGGTCGTGCTCTGCCGGCTTCACATAAAATAAAATAAAATAAAATAAATTCACCCTTTTAGAACAACTCTTTCCTGAATACACATTTTTATGAAAATTTTTGCAAAAATTTTTTTTTAAAATTTGTTATTTTATTATAAAATTTTTATTAAAATGTCCAGAAAGACCGAAGTTTCACCTTTTATCAAAGGAGTTTACTCCCTAATAGCTGACACTATGTTTGAAATATTTTTTGACAGTGCCTAAACGGCTTTAGCAACTTTTATAGAAAACAGGTTTCTACAGACAATGTTTTCTAAGTCTAGTGACAGTACTTTAGACAAAGCTACCCTCCTAACGACTACTTTCAGTGAAGGTTCTGACCCAAAATATTTTGCAGAACAGTCCAAGGCCACAAATATACAACCTATAACTCTTTCATTAATAATGTCTATAGCCTCTTATGCTGTGGCTGCAGGTGGAATGCCTATAAAATGGTGGTTAATTTTGTTAAAAATTTGCAACACTTTTATTTGCAATTTTTTTTTGTACTATAATGGTTTAAAAACATTTAATTAAAGTTTATTAATTATTAAATTAATACTCTATTTAATTTTAACAGGACTAGTAATTATGGTACATATACACAAAAAAATATATGACAATAACAAAGCAAACAAAAATCTGCTTTCTCTCCTTGAAAATACTCACTGTCATCAGGTTGGGTGTGTCATCGCTATGCTTCTCCATCTTGGCCACAGGCCTCACAGTACCTACTTGGCCCCTACAGGGCTCAGCCATATTCTATATACAAACGAACAAAGCTATAAGAATAAAGAATGAAACTCATGTAAAAAGTTAAAGAATGAATGATGATGAAACCTATAAAGCCAAAAAGTAAAATTTGGTACAGAAAAGTAAAACATATTAAGTCAAAGAGTAAAATAAGCAAGAACCTAAAGATTAAAGAATAAAAAAAATACTCACCACAAATAAAAGCAAGTTAAAAACAAAACGTGTCATATAATGTTGAAGAGAAAGGAGTTAAAGAACGGCATAAAGAAAAGAAAATATAATTAGAATTAAATTTTCAAGAACAAATTTCAAGAGCCTGAAGAATTGGTATATTAGTTAAGACAATACAATTTTTTTATTGGAAAGTTACAGATTATTTTAATAATTGGGAAGCTTATTATTCAAACAAAGCATCAGATTCAACCAGTAATACAAGCAATATGTCAGGTAAAGAAAATCAAAAGAGGACAAATAGTAATGTCAAAAGTTTGAGAGACTGAGTTTAATGGCAAAACTAACAAAATGAAGAAGAAGAAAAAGAGAAAACAGAAAGTATAGCATCACAAGAAATCATACTTAAAAAGCTATATTCAGGTACTAGGTCATTATCAAATTTCAAGCCATTTGTAAGTATAAGACCATTTCAGAATTTTTTTAGTTTTCCTAGTATTAGAATATCAACTTTGAAAACCCCTTGATATGACCTTCTTGATTTGTCTAATAATAACATATAAGATGAGGCTTACCTGAAAAACAACAAACTCTTCTTACCAAAAATGAACAAAATAAGATTATAATGCAATTTTTTCAGTAAGTATAAAAATCCTATGCAAAGGGTATAAAACCAAGAGAATCCAAATTAGTTGATTTTCCAGTTTTTAAAAACTTTAGCTGAGCTTACTTATAAAGCTGATAGAGTCAGTACAATTACTTTAGTAGAATCATATTTAAAAGGGATAGCACTATCTAATAACTTGGTATAATTGCCAAACCATTATATTATGGAATTTATTTAAAAACCATTTTTGTAATCTTTTTAGGATTAGCCAGTAAAAACATCAATTGCAAAACAGAAAACAGAAGTAAGGGGAAATAATTGAAGAATATATTGCAATAATCTCCATACAATAATTTATAGAATAAGCAAACTGATACATTGCTAGGTTAGTTCAAGCAGGAA